CGACCCTCCGCCACCGCAACGCCTCTCAGTACCATTCAGACCAGACATAACAGTTGAAGTTTTATTGATGGCAAAGGGAATTAGTCTTTGGCTGTTGGATATGCTGCATGCCCCAGCCAGAGCACCATAATGGTATGAAAGACACAGCCTCACTACATGGGGACAGCCCTGGCCTGGGGTAGGGGAGGCCCAAGGAGAGAAAAAGTGTGTCTGTTTTCTAGATGCAAGGGCCTCTGTGTTACTGGGGACTCTAAAGTTTGGGAAAGATGGAGGAGACAAATGTCTGTTCTCTGGTTGCAGGGGTACCCTGCTGACAGGAACTAGCAGTGTCCTTCTACAGGGCCCCCGGGGCTGTGGGAAGACCACAGTAGTTGCTGCTGCCTGTAGTCACCTTGGGCTCCACTTACTGAAGGTGAGGGTCTCTGGAGAGTAGAACCCCAACTATTTCCCCTCCTCAGCTCACGTTCTCCCTCTCTGCTGCTTCCTCTCTCCTCCCTCTGTCTACTCACAGACCCTAACACTTCAGCCCAGTGGGTCAGGCATATTCCCATGATGCTCAGCTACGGAGAGGTACTTTCAAGGAGAGGGTTTCAAGATATTGGTGGACAGTCCAGGGAATGGGGTAGGGTGAAAAATAGATGGGACTTGGCCAGGGTACCTTCCCCATCCCTGCCCTCCAGAGAAAAAGATGGCCTTCTGACTCCTCCTCCCCCTCATTCTCCTGCCCTTGTCATGCTTGCCTCTTGCTCGCAGACCCATTGGGACCCCCTCCCCAGGTGCCCTGCTCCAGCCTCTGCGCAGACAGTAGTGGGGCTGTGGAAACGAAACTGCAGGCTGTCTTCTCCCGGGCCCGCCGCTGCCGGCCTGCGGTCCTGTTACTTACAGCCTTGGACCTTCTGGGCCGGGACCGCGATGGGCTGGGTGAGGATGCCCGTGTGGTGGCTGTGCTGCGTCACCTCCTCCTCGATGAAGACCCCCACAACAGGTATTTATACAGAGCTGGGTCTATCAAAGCGGGGGAAGCCAGCCAGGTGCAGTGGCTCCCGCTTGTGATCCCAGCACATTGGGAGGCCAAGGTAGGTGGATCACTTGAGGTCAGGAGTTCTAGACCAGCCTGGCCAACATGGTGAAATGCCGTCTCTACTAAAAATACAAAAATTAGCTGGGCATGGTGGTGGGTGCCTATAATCCTAGGTACTCAGGGGGCTGAGGCAGGAGAATCGCTTGAACCCAGGAGGTGGAAGTTGTAGTGAGCAAGATTGCATCACTACACTCCAGCCTGGGGGATAAGAGCAAGACTCCATCTTAAAAAAAAAAAAAGTGGGTGGGAGGCCCAGCTTTTGTACTTTTCAGCCTTTGAGTCCTCCCTTCTCTCATCCCTCAGTGGCTTCTCAGTTATCTCCTGCCATTTGGCTGCCCTCTAAACAGCCCTGAGCTTAGCATCTTAGGGGGATCTAAAGGAGTCTGTGGTCTAGCATTTCTTGGGGAACACTCGGTTAAAGATAAAGCACAGCCTCTGCCCTCAATGTCAGGGGACGCACAGGTCCTCCATCTAGGAACTGGGATAGATGCTTGTCTCCCTACCCATCCCAGCACCCATCTCACCTCCCTGCCCTTCTGGGCCAATCTTGGGACAAGGCAGTGCACAGGAGCTGCCAGCCATGTTCTCACTCTCAGCGCCCATTCCTCTGCCTGCAGCTGCCCTCCCCTCTTGGTCGTGGCCACCACAAGCCGGGCCCAGGACCTGCCTGCTGAAGTGCAGACAGCATTTCCTTATGAGCTGGAGGTACCTGCACTGTCAGAGGGGCAGCGGCTCAGCATCCTGCAGGCCCTCACTGCCCACCTTCCCCTGGGTCAGGAGGTGAACTTGGCACAGCTGGCACGGCGGTGTGCAGTGAGTATCAAGGCAGAGTACTGGCCCTCCCTAGGAGGTCCCTGGCTTTTGTCACAAGAACTCAGTCCTGTTGCCCTGTGAGTAGAAAACCCTAAGGCATCAACAGGGGCCTCTGCTATGGCTAGGGGCCAGTCCCCTGAAGGGTCCTGCCTACTGTGCCCTGCTCATATGTCCTCTCCTGTGGTCCCCAGGGCTTTGTGGTAGGGGATCTCTATGCCCTTCTGACCCACAGCAGCCGGGCAGCCTGCACCAGGATCAAGAATTCAGGGTAAGAGGAGTTGGGTATAGGAGAGGAAAGGAGGAAAGAGGAAATGGATGTAGATGGGTGGGTGGTGAGGAAGGGAGAAGGGAATGGATGCTGATGGGGAGGAGGCCTCATGTGAGATCCTCCAGAGGCCTCCCTATATTCCTCTTTGCAGTTTGGCAGGTGGCTTGACTGAGGAGGATGAGGGGGAGCTGTGTGCTGCCGGCTTTCCCCTCCTGGCTGAGGACTTTGGGCAGGCACTGGAGCAACTGCAGACAAAGCACTCCCAGGCCGTTGGAGCCCCCAAGGTAGAGACTAAATTCTTGGAGGTGGGACAGGAGCCCCTCCACCAGCATATCCCAACCTTGTACTTTCCATCTCCTAGATCCCCTCAGTGTCCTGGCATGATGTGGGTGGGCTTCAGGATGTGAAGAAGGAGATCCTGGAGACCATTCAGCTCCCCCTCGAGCACCCTGAGATACTGAGCCTGGGCCTGAGACGCTCAGGCCTTCTGCTCCATGGGCCCCCTGGCACCGGCAAGACCCTCCTGGCCAAGGCAGTAGCCACTGAGTGCAGCCTTACCTTTCTCAGGTGGCCAGGGGACATGGAAGGGATGGTGGGTGGATCAGGGGCTGCAACAGGCTGGGGAGCAGGAGCAGGAGGGGCTGCCCAAGAGGTTGATTGTGTGTATGTGCATCTGACATCCTTCTCACATCCTCTCACTCAGCGTGAAGGGGCCAGAGCTCATTAACATGTATGTGGGCCAAAGTGAGGAGAATGTGCGGGAAGGTGAGTGAGCAGGGAGGGGCAGGGCTTCCCATCCTTCCTAAATCCCGATGGCCTCCAAGTCACCCCCACCCCCAGGCTACTCATGGTTATTCCTAATCCTCCTTTCCACAAGTCAGGTTCCTGCCCACCTGGGTCTAGTACCTGGAATGCCAGTGCTGTACTGTCAGACCCCAGCCTCCCTACCTGCTCTCGCCTAACTTCAACTCCCCATCAGCTTCCTCCTCCTGTGGGCCCCTCTCTCTCCAGTGTTTGCCAGGGCCAGGGCTGCAGCTCCATGCATTATCTTCTTTGATGAACTGGACTCTTTGGCCCCAAGCCGGGGGCGAAGTGGAGATTCTGGAGGAGTGATGGACAGGTGGGGGTTTGAGTGGGAATGGAGGCTGGGGGGTCCAGATGGAAGTGCCTGCCATTTCAGTTCTGAGATAATATAATGGAAGCTGAAAAGGGCCATGAAATTGGGCAGGGGCCACTGAGGAGAATGGAGGCCTTCCTGGAGGGGCACACTGGGCACAGCTGAGCAGAAGGCCCTGTTGAGATTGCCTGTAAGGAAAGGTACCACAGGCAGAGGCGGAGTCTGAGGGGACACCAAGGACTCTTGCTCCCTTCTCTCCAGGGTGGTGTCTCAGCTCCTTGCTGAGCTGGATGGGCTGCACAGCACTCAGGATGTGTTTGTGATTGGAGCCACCAACAGACCAGATCTCCTGGACCCTGCCCTTCTGCGGCCTGGCAGGTGGGCCCCTTGTGCCGCTCACCTCATTCTGTGCCTCCTTCACCCCTCGTGGCTGGGCTCCCTGACACTTATACCCACCTATCTCCCTAAAGATTTGACAAGCTGGTGTTTGTGGGGGCAAATGAGGACCGAGCCTCCCAGCTACACGTTCTGAGCGCCATCACACGCAAGTATGCCCTGATAGAGGAAGACTGCAAAGGGCTTGGGATGCTTAGGGGATGCATGCAACATGCAGGATGACCTGGTCAGCACCAGCTTTTGAGGGAGGTGATGCCAACTGTTTCTTCCTGTATCCCATAACAGATTCAAGCTAGAGCCATCTGTAAACCTGGTGAACGTGCTGGATTGCTGCCCTCCCCAGCTGACGGGTGCAGACCTCTACTCTCTCTGCTCTGATGCCATGACAGCTGCCCTCAAACGCAGGATTCATGACCTGGAGGAAGGTAAGCCACTTGCCGGCCTGAGGGGTCAACTAAAAAGCTAGCGGGGAGCTGGGTGCACCTGAGTCCCAACTACTTGAGAGGCGGAAGTGGGAGGATTGCTTGAGCCCAGGAGTTTGAGGCCAGCCTGGGCAACACAAAGAGACCCCATCTCTAAAAAAAATTTTAAGGAAAAAAAAGCTAGTGGGAGACAAATCTACTTCTGGATTTCAGAGGGAGGATCATTGACATCTAAGAGACCCTGAGCAGGAAGGCACCTTCCCAGGGCTCTCCCCTGCCTGGGCATAGACCATAGCCTCTGTTCCCCAGCCTGGATGGGGACTCTGGCCTCACCTCCCCACTTGTCACCTCTAGGGCTGGAGCCAGGGAACTCAGCACTGATGCTCACCATGGAGGACTTGCTGCAGGCTGCTGCCCGGCTGCAACCCTCAGTCAGTGAGCAGGAGCTGCTCCGCTACAAGCGCATCCAGCGCAAGTTTGCTTGTTAGGAGCCCCCCCAGGGTCTGGGACCCCACCCAGCATGGCTGCAGACACCTCGATAGCCCACAGAGAGATCCAGGAGGGAAGGACTCCTCCTCAGGAGGGAAGGACTCCTGCCAACTCACCTGGAGGCCACCTCCCTCCAGGAGATTCCAGGGTGCAAAGTGGCATTGGGACAGCAGCAAGAGCTCCTGCCTACTTGCCTCTCCTTCCAGGAGAAGAGCCAGAGCCTTGGGTTCTGGGAATTATGCCCTGAGAGGGCTCATTCTGTGGCTGAAAATAAAGTATGTGCCGCCCCCTACTGGTGTGGCATGAAAGGTTGTCATGGGGAAGAGCAGGGCTGAGAGAGGAGTAAGCGCTGGGGGAGGGCAGGAGTGGGCATCGTGGGAGCCTCATCCTTCTGACATAAACACAAGGCATACCGGAACTGAAAAGGGCACAGACTATATTGTTTACCCTTCCGTCTGCAGAACCCACATCCCTGTACCCCATCTGTAGTCTGCTCTAGAGGCTGGGCCTCGTGTGTGGCTGCTGGTCCCCATCTTGCAGACAGAGCCTAGCAGGGCCTGGGTGGAGGCTTGTGGGAGCTGAGGCCACACTCAGTCTGTCCTCTTGAGCACATGGATGAAGTAGCAGGGAATGTAGGCTTGGCCTGGCTTGTAAGGCTTGAAGTCGCCCAGGACGCTGTGCTGGCACTTGCCCCCGAAGGCTGCTTGGACCAACTCCGTGAAGGATGCCAGACAATGCGGGTAGTAGGAGAGCCGGAACTTACTGTAACAGAGCCCCAGCAACCATGAGGACTGGTGGCCTCAGCTCCCCCGACTATCACCTCACCCGCACTGAGCCAAGTGGTACCTCAAGCCAGGAGAGCCATCCTGGCCAGCCCCTGGCACCTGCACTGTGTAGTCCAGGGTCACCATGTGGGCCTTGTTGTTCACTGTCAGCACTGATGTTGTGATGTCCTTGGTCAAGTCACTCTACAGGTGGGGTGGCAGGCTGCATTAGCATCTGTAACCCACCTTGGGGCCACTGGACCCTCCCTCCCCCCACCCCCACCCCCAGAGGGCCCCACCTTATAGTAGATGTTCTTCCCCGGGGGTGCACAGCCTGTGCTGAGGATGTGGTCGTAGTTGCGATGATCAATGACCAGCAGGCCCCCTGCCCGCACCATGCTTGCAATGTTTTTCAGCGCCAGCCGGTGCTCACTCTGGTCCCCTGAGCTCCAGGCAGGGGCAGAAAACTTTCATCTGCTCAGGGCCCCCAGCACCAGTCTCCCTCCCATCTCTCCCCTCCCCAGGGGTGCCAGAGCCAACGCAGAGAGAGGCAGAGTCTTTGGCAGAAGAGCAGGTGCCCAGAGGTCTGTGAAAGGGGGTACAGCTCAAGGCAAGGACCATGCCCACAGCCACACCCTCTCTCACCTTTGCAGTCTGGCAAGTGAGCGAAACTGTTTCCAAGACAGATGACAGCATCAAAGCCACCCCCTGCTGGCTGGGGCACATCTTTGTCCAGAGTCATCCAGTTGGCTTCTTCGATGACTGGAGGCCAGGAAGGGAAAGAGAAATCAGGGAGGCACAATGGTACTGGTAGCAGCCACCTCCACCAACTGCAGTCCTGCCTGGGTTTCTTCTCAAGACACACAAACTCCCTGTTCAGTTAAGGGGAGGAGTGAGGAGGGGTCAAGGGAGGAGGGACCCTGGTTGGGAAGGAGGGCTCTGTGTTTATGGGTTTTTCTTTGAAGGGAGAGACAAGACGCCATAAACACAGTTAAAACCAGCTCTTCACACTCTGTGTCTTACTCTGGAGCTTAAGCCTTGCTTTTCAGAGAAATGACAGTAATTTTGCTATCTCCCTGAGGAAAACACAACACTCCACCCCCACCCCCACCCCCACCTAAAGAAGCCCCAAGTGTTCCTGGTGGCTAGGCTGAGAGGGCCTGGCTAGACACGCATACCCCACTTGTCGAAGGCAGACTCATGCCGCCGGTTCCAGCGCTCCTTAAGCGCATACTTCAGCATCTTGTCACTGGCATCCACACTTGTCACGCTGAAGCCCTCTTCCACCAGCATAATGGAGTCCACCCTGGGCAGGGCCAGCAAGGAGTAGCAGAGAGAGGCAGTCAGGGGAGCCTGGGAGGCCAGGAGACCCTGGGCCAGACACTTCTGTCTCCACGTTTCAGAGTCCATTCCTCTGCCTCCTCTCCTTGGCCCTTTCCACCGACCTCACAATCTGTTTCCTATCACCACGGTGCAACTTTTTTAAAAAAAGCACCTCTTGAGAGCCAGGCACTCTACAAATGTGCAGTAATTCTCATGGCAATCCTGAGAGGTAAATGGTGTTATTCCCATTTGAGGAATGGACTCCTCGAAGTTAAATACGTGTGCACAGGAGGCAGTCGAACATGGTGAGTTAGAGCACAGGACAGACCTTAATTAACCTGGGCCTGTTATCTCCTCTTCACTGATGATGTATGAGGGACTTTTGCTTTGCTTAGGCCTTATTTCCCCAGTAGTAAATGGGAGAATATCACTGTTTAACCTCATGGGGCTTTGTGAGGGTTTGAGAAACTGATATATCAAAAGCTCCTGGTCCCAGGCAAGGCAGGTGCAAATGCTGAGCAATGTTAACTGCTAACACTGCCCAAGGCCATCACAGGAGGAATATCTGGAATGTCTGTGGCTCTGGCTCCAAAGCCCCACAGACCCTCACTTTTCTGCCCACACCCTCACAGTCTCCCTTCTCCTTGGCCTCTCCCTGGGCACCCTTGCCCTGACCCCGGGCCTCCCCAGGCACTCGCTGTGCTTGTTCTGCCGGGCAGGCAGGCAACAGTTCCTGGCCCTGGTGTCCCACCGCTCCAGGCCGGCAAAGGCCGCCGGGACGTGCCCGGTCCTGTGGTTCTGCGGCCCCGCGTACAGGCTGAGCTGAACCTCGATCTCACACAACGCCCCTGGCCCCCACCTTGGCTCACCCGGTACCACAGGCCACGTCGAGCACCCGCTGGCAGCCGTGCTGGCGCAGCAGCCCCAGCAGCCATGCCTTGTACTCGGTGGTGCGGCTGCGGGTGTCTCCGATGTACATCTGCCACACACGCGCTGCCTCCCCATCCGCGTACTGGTCCGGGAGCCCTTCGGCTGCCACCCCCAGGGAGCGGGTCCGATACACGCTGTCCACCATCCTGCGCCGCGCCTGGCTCTGCAGCCACCCGCTCCAAACTTATAGCGCGGGAGTTCTCGCGGCCGACGGCCCCACCTGACCAATGGCAGGTGAGCTCTCGGACACGCCCCTGCTGGGCTTTGGGCAGGGCGCCTGAGGCTGTCCTGCTCCGAGGATGGCACTGCCTCGCAATCCCGGGAGGGAGAATCCCAGTACTCTGCAATCCCACGGAGGGAGAGGACCCTCGGAGCCCTCTGGCTACTTAACCTGGGTCTCCAGGAGACAAGAGGGGCCAAGAGACGAGAGAGCAATGAGATTGCACTCCACCCCGACCCCAGTTAGACAGGGAGTAAAACCTCAGATCCACAGAGCAGAGCGCCAGGCGGGCAGGACTGGACCGTTTCCAGGAAGGAGGGTATCAGCCTATCTAAAGAAAGGACGTTTAGGCCGGGCAGGGCTCATGCCTGTAATCCCAGCACTTTGGGAGGCCCAGGCGTGGATCACGAGGTCAGGAGTTCAAGACCAGCCTGACCAAGATGGTGAAACTCCGTCTCTACTAAAAATACAAAAAATTAGCCAGGCGTGGTGGCGGGCGCCTGTAATCCCAGCTACTCTGGAGGCTGAGGGAAAGAATTGCTTGAACCTGGGAGGCAGAGGTTACAGTGAGCCGAGATCGTACCACTGCACTCCAGCCTGAGCGACAGAAAGAGACTCCGTCTCAAAAAAAAAAAGGAAAGAAAAGAATGTGCAGCTGAAGGGGTCTAGGCAGCTGGGGCAGGGAAGACATGGGGAGTCTCTGGAGGTAATGTTGGTCTGTCCATCCAAGCCCAGGGGCAGAGCTGGGGCTGAAAGAAGGCTCCCCGCCCACCTGGAGGTGGATGTGCCTCTGTCCTATAGGTAGGCATCAGGCTTTTCCCTGAGCCTCTAAGGTGTAAGCTGGGCCTTGCTTCCAATTTCTGGATCACTGAGAATTCTTCTAAAGACCCTCTGCTTTCCATGCGAGGCAGTAAAATAGGGTCTGGCGGCAGGGAACACAAGGCCAATTCACACTTCGGCTATAATAGGAAATATCCTTTCCATAGGGCATATGCCATCAATAACTTTGTAACTGTAACTTTACTTCATCCTCTTCATTTCCATAGGGCTTACCCCAAGTAGAGGGTATTTAAACTCACAAAAACTCTGTAACAGGGCCTTTGAGCCCCTATGCTCAGGCTCACTCCCACACTGTGGAGTGTACTTTCATTTTCAATAAAACCGGTCATTCCTTCCTTGCTTTGTTTGTGCGTTTTGTCCAATTGTTCAAGATGCCAAGAACGTGGACACCCTCCACCAATAATATATTTTTGTGAGCCAGCCAGGAGAAAGAGAAAAGCCCAAAGTTTGGGATTTATTTTTCTCCCTTTCCTTTCTGCTCAATTACAGTGGTGCGTTCTCTCTCTCTCTCTCTTTCTCTCTCTCTATCTCTCCCTCTCTGTCTCTCTCTTTTCCTTTCCAACTTTGGACCCTCGGTGGGCAGCACCTAAACATGGAAGCAACTGCAGGATTTTTTTTGTTTTTGGGACAGAGTCTCGCTCTGTTGCCCAGGCTGGAGTTCTGAAACTTTGTCATACCAGAGTTCTGAAAATGCATTTAAAAAATCTAGAGAATGGGGGCTGGTAGCTGTTGCTCATGTCTATAATCCCACCACTTTGGGAAGCTGAAGCAGGCAGACCACCTGAGGTCAGGAGTTCGAGACCAGCCTGATCAACATGTAGAATCCCCGTCTCTACTAAAAATACAAAAAGTTAGGCTGGGCATGGTTGTGGCTCATGCCTGTAATCCCAGCACTTGAGAGGCCGAGGTAGGTGGATCACCTGAGGTCAGGAGTTAGAGATCAGCCTGATCAATAAGGTAAAGTCTGTCTCTACTAAAAACACAAAAATTAGCCAAGCTTGGTGGCAGGCACCTGTTGTTCCAGCTACTTGGGAGGCTGAGACAAGATAATTGCTTGAACTGGGAAGGTGGAGGTTGCAGTGAGCCCAGATCACACCTCTGCACTCCAGCCTGGGCAACGAAGTGAGACTCCATCTCAAAAAAAAAAAAAAAAATTAGCTGGACGTTGTGGCACATGCCTGGAGAATGGGCCAGGAACAGTGGCTTGCGCCTGTAATCCCAGTAGTTAGGGAGGCAGAGGCGGGCAGATCACCTGAGGTCAGGAGTTTGAGACCAGCCTAACCAATATGGTGGAACCTACCTCTACTAAAAATATAAAAACTCGCTGGGTATGGTGGGTACCTGTAATCCCAGGTACTCTGAAGGCTGAGGCAGGAGAATAGCTTGAAATCCGGAAGGTGGAAGTTGCAGTGAGCTGAGATTGTACCACTGCACTCCAGCCTGGACAACTGAAGGAGACGCTATCTCAAAAAAAAAAAAAACGTCTGGAGAATGAAGAGTGATATTAAATTGGAATAATAACTAAGATGATAGGGGAATAATTTATTTTCACTATCTACAAATAGGTTGGCTATATATATATACAATATTTGAAAAAAAATATTTTTTTTTGAGACGGACTTTCGCTCGTTACCCAGGCTGGAGTGCAATGGCGCGATCTTGGCTCACCGCAACCTCCACCTCCTGGGTTCAGGCAATTCTCCTGCCTCAGCCTCTTGAGTAGCTGGGATTACAGGCAAGCGCCACCACGCCCAGCTAATTTGTTGTATTTTTAGTAGAGAGGGGATTTCACCATGTTGAGCAGGATGGTCTCGATCTCTTGACCTCGTGATCCACCCGCCTCGGCCTCCCAAAGTGCTGGGATTACAGGCTTGAGCCACCGCTCCTGGCCCAATATTTGAAATGGTGAGTGGCTTACGGCAATTGATTATTGTCCCCCTTATTATTACTTTCTTTTCCACTTGCTTTGTCTGGGAAAGGAATGCTGAAGGAGGTAGCAGGGTCTCTCTCTCTTTTTTTTTGAGATGGAGTCTTTCTCTTTTGCCCAGGCTGGAGTGCAGTGGCACAATCTCGGCTCACTACAACCTCCGCCTCCCAGGTTCAAGCAATTCTTCTGCCTCAGCCTCGTGAGTAACTGGGACTACAAGTGCCTGTCACTACACCAGGCTAATTTTTTTTTTTTTTGTATTTTTAGTAGAGACAGGGTCAGACTGGTCTAGAACCCCTGACCTTATGATCTGCCTACCTCAGCCTCCCAAAGTGCTGGGATTACAGGCATGAGCCACCACACCCAGCCCAGGGTCACTCTTTTTTTACATTTTATTTTTTTGAAATAGGGTCTTGCTTTGTTGCCTAGGCTGGAACACAGTGGTGTGATCATAGCTCACTGCAGCTGCAAACTTGCAGGCTCAAGCAATCTTCCCACCTCAGCCCCCCAAGATTCTGCTATTATAGGCCTGTGCCACCATTCCTGGCAATTTTTTTTTTTTAGAGACGGGGATCTCACTGTTGCCCAGGCTTGTCTCCTGGGCTCAAGCGATCTTCTTGCCTCGGCCTCACAAAGTGCTGGGATTACAGTCACAAACCACTTCACCTGGCCTCTTTCAAATCGTCTTTTCATATTATTCACAGATATTTCATTAGGTAGAATATTATATATACTTAAAGCTATTGTATCTTCTTTTTTTTTTTTTTTTGAGACAGAGTTTTACTTTTGTTACCCAGGCTGGAGTGCAATGGTGTGATCTCGGCTCACCGCAACCTCCGCCTCCTGAGTAGCTGGGACTACAGGCACGGGCCACCATGCCCAGCTAATTTTTTGTATTTTTTAGTAGAGATGGGGTTTCACCATGTTGACCAGGATGGTCTCGATCTCTTGACCTCATGATCCACCCGCCTTGGCCTCCCAAAGTGCTGGGATTACAGGCGTGAGCCACCGTACCTGGCCTTTATCTTCTTTTATTATTGCCAAAGTGTACCAAATAATCTCAATCCTTCATCTCTAAATTGTCCATGTCCTGCCCATTGCAATATATTAAAACTGCCTTTTATTTTACTTAATTCATCTCTGTAAATTTTATTTTATTTTTGTAGAGACAGAGTCTCACTTTGTTGCACAGGCTGGTCTCAAACTCCTGGGCTCAAGCAATCCACCTGCCTCAGTTTCCCAAAGTGCTGGGATTACAGGCATGACCACCTTGCCATCTCTCCATAAATTTTAGATGACCCAAATCTGAGGTCCTGGGCCATGGAAAAGATCACAATATAAATCAATTACTGTTTGACTTCATTGAAAATAAGAATAGGTCCAGCCTGGCCAACAGGGTGAAATCTTGTCTCTACTAAAAATACAAAAATTAGGCGGGCATGGTGACTCAGGCCTGTAATCCCAGCACTTTGGGAGGCTGAGGTGGGTGGATCACAAAGTTAGGAGTTCAAGACCAGTATTGCCAAGATGGTGAAACCCCATCTCTATTAAAAATACAAAAATTAGCCAGGAGCTGGGGCAGGTGCCTGTAATCCCAGCTACTCAGGAGGCTGAGGCAGGAGAATCACTTGAACCCAGGAGGCGGAGGTTGCAATGAGCTGAGATCACACCACTGTTCTCCAGCCTGGGCAACAGAACAAGACTCTGTCAAAAAAAAGAAAAAGAAAAAAAAAGAAAGAGGGAGGAGGAGGAGGAGGAGAATGAAAGTAAAGAAAAAATGAGCCAGGTGTGGTGGCGCACGCTTGTAATTCCAGCTGCTCCAGAGGCTGAGACAGGAGAGTTGCTTGAACCTGGGGGACGGAGGTTGCAGTTAGCAGTGATCATGCCACTGCACTCCAGCCTGGACAACAGAGCAAAACTCTGTCTCAAAAAGAAAAAAAGAAAAGAAGAACAGGTGATTTTTTTTTTTTTTTGAGACAGAGTCTCACTCTGTCACACAGGCTGGAGTAAAGCGGCGTGATCTTGGCTCACTGCAATCTCTGCCTCCTGGGTTCAAGTGATTCTTCCTGCCTGAGCCTCCAAAATAGCTGGAATTACAGGGTGCGCCACCATACCTGGCTAATGTTTGTATTTTTAGTAGAGACAGGGTTTTACCATGTTGGCCAAACTGGTTTTGAACTCCTGACTTCGTGATCCACCCACCTGGGATTACAGGCATGAGCCACCATGCCCAGCTAGAACAGGTGATATTTTAAATGTGAGACACATTATTTGGAATTAGCTGAAAAGACTAACCTATTCATTCCCAAATGTGTGACCTGTTTGCAAAAAGACTTCACCTTGGCAATGTGGCTGTAACTGGAAAAACTCCAAGGCAATTCCTATTTGAGGACACATTAAAATCCTGCAATTGTAAATTATGTAGATACAATAACTGCAAATGGGAAACATCTTGGTTGTTTTGGTGTTTTTTATTTTTATTTACTTTTTAGAGATGAGTCTCACAATGTTGCCAAGGCTGGATTGGAACTCCTGGGCTCAAGTGATACTCTCAAGACGCCTCCCAAGTAGCTAGGACTACAGGTGGGTACTGCACATGGCTTGTTTTTGATTCAGAACAGGTAGAAATCCATTTTTCTGATGATGAATGCCAAATCCCAAACTCTAGTCCAAGCCACTGCATAAAACTCTTCTCTGCCAATTGGATCTACCCCAGACTGAACACTGAAATACTTCAGGGGTGCCAGCAAATCCACCCACCCACTTGGATCTGCTAGCAGAGTTATCACAGTGGGTCCTTTTTTGGACTTTTAAGAAAATCCTGTTAGTTGGGTGTAAAATAGGTCTCTATATCAGTGGGTTCTAACACTAATAATGGTGGCTACATTACTATTATTTTATTTTATTTTTTAAAGACGGGGTTTCACCACGTTGGTCAGGCTGGTCTTGAGCTCCCGACCTCAGGTGATCCGCCTGCCTTGGCCTCCAAAGTGCTTGGATTACAGGTGTGAGCCACCACGCCCGGCCTACATTACTATTAAGTGTAGTGTATCAGTGAGTACTCCACTGATGTGTAAGAGAGGTTCTTCCAAAAAGCCCTGAATTCACTATACAATTTATGCATGTAATAAAATATACTTGTGCCTTATAAATTTATACAAATAGAAAACTTAAAAAAAAAGTGAGAGGTTCTTTTTACCATTTCACACTTTATTTAAAGCAAGGTTTAAATAACTTGCTAACTGCAACCTCTGCCTCCCAGGTTCAAGCAATTCTCCTGCCTCAACCTCCCGAGTAGCTGGGACTACAGGTGCGTGCCACCATGCCCAGCTAATTTTTTTATTTTTAGTAGAGACAGAGTTTCACCATGTTTGCCAGGATGGTCTTGATCTCCTGACCTCATGATCCGCCCACCTTGGACTTCCAAAGTGCTGGGATTACAGGCATGAGCCACCATGCCTGGCCTCACTGAGCTTTTATTATTCAACATAAAAATGATACATTACTTCAGGCCCTGATAACAGTCTAAGTGTTGCTTATTGAAACATGTGATGTAGCACACACTATCACATCTAAAACACCAAGACTGGGTTTGTGAGTACAGGTAACCCTTGAACAACTTGAGGGTTAGGGTTTCCGACTCCTCACACAGTTGAAAATCCATGTGTAACTTTTTTATTTTTTTTTGAGACAGGGTCTTGCTGTCACCCAACCTAGGGTGCAATGGCATGATCTTGGCTCACTGCAACCTTTGCCTCCTGTGCTCAAGTGATCCTCCCACCTCAGCCTCCTGAGTAGCTGAAACCACAGGAAGGCACCACCGTGCCTAATTTTTCTATTTTTTATCGAGATGGGGTTTTGCCATGTTGCCCACGCTGGTCTCACAGGTGATTGGACGACCACGGCCTTTCAAAACACTGAGATTACAGGCTTGAGCCACTGTGCCCAGCTCCTATGTATACCTTTTGACTCCCCAAAAAATGAACTACTAACCTACTACTGACCAGAAGCCTTACCTATAACATAAAGTGGATAACACATATCTTATTTTTTTTGAGACCAACACAGAGTCTCACTCTGTTGCCCAGGCTGTAGTGACAGAGCGAGACTCCATCTCAAAAAAAACCAAAAAGCAAAAACAAAACACAATGAAAAAACTGCGCATGGCAGCACGTGCCTCTGCACCTGTAGTCCCAGCTAGTCGGGAGGCTGAGGTGGGAGGATCACTTGAATCTGGAGGTTGAAGTTGCACTGAGTCATAATCATGCCATGGCACTCCAGCCTAGCACTGGGCGACAGAGGGAGACTGTGTCTCAAAAACAGAAACAAAAAGGGAAAGAAAAAACCTGGAAAGCCAGTTTCCCTCATTCTGACTTTTTAGGCAGCATAAACTGGTGCTGGGGTGTGCTGGGTGAAGAGTTAGGTGTGGGGAACAAGCCTGGCCTTGGGAGGGAGGGAGGGAGGGAACTCAGAATGTAATCACAGGTCAAAGAGCAAAGCAGTGACAGTGTGCACACCCTCAGGTCTGGGCTTGGGATTGGGCTAATGGGCCAACACCCCAGTAAGGGGGTTAGGTCTTTTTTTTTTGAGAGGGAGTCTCACTCTTTCGCCCAGGCTGGAGTGCAGTGGTGTGACCTTGGCTCACTGCAACCTCCATCTCCCAGGTTCAGGCGATTCTCCTGCCTCAGTCTCCCAAGTAAGAGGCTGGAACCACCCAGACCCCAAAAATAAATAAAAAAAACAAAACAAAACTGGCTGGGTGTGGTAGCTCATACCTGTAATCCTGGCACCTTGGGAGGACAAGGTGGGTGGATCACCTGAGATCAGGAGTTCCAGATCAGCCTGACCATCATGGTGAAACCCCATCTCTACCAAAAATACAAAAATTAGCCAGGCCTAACACGATGAGACACTGTCTCTTTTAAAAATACAAAAAATAAGCCAGGTGTGGTGGCATGAGCCTGTAGTCCCAGCTACTCAGGAGGCTGAGGCAGGAGAATAGCTGGAACCCAGGAGGCAGAGGTTGCAGTGAGCCAAGATCGCACCACTGCACTCCAGCTTGGGCAGCAAAGCAAGACTCTGTCTAAAAAAAAAATTAGCCAGGCATGGTTGTGTGTGCCTGTAATCCCAGCTACTTGGGTAGCTGAGACACGAGAATTGCTTGAACCCAGAAGGCAGAGGTTGCAGTGAGCCAAGATTGTGCCACT